ACGAAACTGGATGGGTACAACGGGTCGAATGCTAAAATCGATCTAAGATCACTATGATCTATTCGATTTGTATAAGATGTAGAGGAATCAGGTCAGTCGCCTGCCCCTACTGCCACCGCGAGAGACTCCAGTGAGGTGATCGACCTAGCCCAATTCGCATGTCCTTTTTTACGTCATTTAAATTCTACGGGGCATATAGTTTCTCCGCTCTACTCTAAACTACCATAAACAACCGAACGTTAGTTGGACAGATCGATGCACTCATACACGTATGGAAGCCATCAAGGCAGGCCGGGCCGCATATAAACGTATTTATCGAGTGTCTCTATAGACGTAAGTAGACGACTGCTCGTAACCAGTCAGCTACTACGAATATGGCTAACTTTGACAAGACCTTATTGTCTAGCACCAGGAGGGGCTTTAACGAAATAACTACGGCATGTACACCAGCCATTTGGAACATAAGATGTCATCTAACTATCGCAGGCAACAAATGGACTATGAAAACGGCAGAGACGAAAACAGAAAAGTGGAGGGCGATCCGTCCTATCCAAGAATTTGGCCGATCAATTTGGTGCGCCTTTGGGCCTGACTTGCATATCGGTGCAATCCATAGGCTGTTGTTGCTACGCAGCTGGCAGTTCTCATTGGTGCTTCGACTGATAATGTCACTTCTGTAAGTACTTCTAGTGCAGCACTCATAGGAACTCGAGTAGAGATACGATTCAGCCTAAATTATTTTGAAGTGATTCGCTGATTTATGGCTTAACGACTTTCTTTTGTCGAAACCTCGCTGAGAAGCCTATGCGGGCTAAGAAAAAAAGTTCAGACAAATGTATGCTTTATTTCCTTTAAAACCGTCATATTTGCTTTGATAGATAGAACCCAGGTTTAATATAACCTCTTGTCTAGTAATAATCCAAAATTCTCTTGCGTCCTATTGTAGTCCGGTTCATAAACCTTCAATGTGGTTTGGGCAAGACCATGGGTGGTAGGGAAAGGTAGTTTTTATTGCAATGCCAAGACAGTCTGAGTTAAGTTATTCTGCGTATCACAGTGTATCTTGTGAAAATTGTCTACATTAGCCAAATATCCTCGTTTGTTCGGCGCAAGAGGCATTTATTCTCGGAATAAGTGAATGTTTTGACAAACTAATTAGTTAATAGCAATATTCTGTCTGTTTGTATTGTATTTATCTTTATAGCCGTGCAAAGGTCAACATCACTGGACAACAGTTTAGGACAACTTTGTCCTATATACACACACATAGATATATATCCCTGATAGTTTGCTGCCTTTCCAACCAAGCAAGCGTTTCCAAAAGCCTTGAGCGAATGCCACAAGAGCAGACCAGCTATCTTTTCCACAGAACGTCACAGCTTGTCTTAAACCTGATTCTAGTTAATACCAATAGGAATTACATAGGCGCTAGTGGCAGCGATAAATTGTCGCAATTAATTACAGTGATACTCTGCGGTATTTCGAAAGACGATTTTACCGTATTGAGTCGGCGACCGAGCACCTTGGCATTTTGTTACATGGAGCACCGCCCCAAAACCGCTGACGCTTCTGTACATATTTGCTGTTGGAATATGCACAAGGAGGATAGTGGCCCGTTTTTGTAATCGGTGCCGCTAATAGTAGCAACAGTCTTTCTTGTCGAGGTGATTATTACATAGAACCATTGAACCTGAACGTAATCAACGTCGGTTCTACCATTGACTAACAGTTCGAACGAAAAGATAAATCGATTTCTGTAAACAAATATAGGAGGCGATTGACTTTGAGTTGTCTTAGTCACGAGTTTGCCTCTGAGATGTAGCGAGCACTTCTACTATGAAGTTGCTATTAGGATTACTTATCGTATTCTCCTTTCATCTATATAGCAGCCATTAGATCTTTCTTTAATAGCTAATATTTATATTATCATATTTTAATTAATTACCTTGTTTTTTTTAGCTGGCTTAAAATTATGTCTGCAACATCACTATCGCTGCGCTTCTACCGATATGAAACAAGTCAGGGGAAAAAGCACATATATGTAGTACGCCATTTTATGGCTAGCTGACTGTAATTTGAATAGCTGATTGTTTTCGCTATGTTCCGGGTGTTACGTCCGGCATTGCCGTTAGGTGCTCCATCAAACGACCGTCTCCCTGGCTTGGGTTCGAGCATAGACCACAATATGTCTCTAACATTAGTAGGCAAAGACATTATCCACTAAGCTATCACGAGGACTCTACACAGAGGTGACTGTTTTGCGATGCCATACGCGAGCGGCCGGTAAAAGTGCTAACGTCGAGAATACTTTTTTGTTAAAAGGATCAACTATCTTTATGGTTACATGTTATATCTGTTAGGTTTGTATTTACTATTCAGAGCTCTCTGAAGCCATAGGACACTGTCGTGTGTATCTAAAAATTCAATGAAGGCTGTAAGCGTCAGATGTACAGTGATTCGAACTCTTCAAGACGTTTCTCGCTATAGGACAAATTCTGTTTTTTTTCTATTTACGACAAGGTTCCCTCAAACGTATTTAAATTTGTGCGCTAAACGCGACGTCTGTTGTAGGTCAACATATATTTTAATCAGTTGTGTTGCTTACGCCGGTCTAAGGATGCAGCTCAGCGGTGCATGGCCTGCCTCAGTCCAAAAGATGGAGAGTTAATCTTTAGTCGGCCTGGGCTTTCCTAAGTAACCTTTTTAAACACGTAATTATTTGCTAGCTGAACAACTTTTATTACCAGCTCGCTTCTGTCCGGCATCTTACGAAGACCACAAAGAAGCTTCCGTTTACAACTGAGGTGGCAAATCTGACATGCAATCGAGATCAATACTGACTGCCGTCAACCTTAGCCCAAGCCTTTCTTTTACAAGCTGTAACATAACGTTAAATACTGAAAATCCACATCTTCTTTGTACGCCAGCGAATACGTGTGTGGGACATAGTTTGACAAATAGAAACCGACCGAGAAAGGTATGACGCCAGGTAAGTCTTCCACGGGCAAATATTTGTGCAAGTAGATTATAGTAGATCTTACTTCTACATTATACGAAATCCGATCTTCAACATTCTGCTTCGAGCTGTTAACAATCACCTAACAACGTTATCAGCCACCTGACAAATCTCGTTATCCATTCAGAGCAAGAAAGCGAATGATTCCGCCCCTTCCCGCCCCATATTTCGTGCGCTCCCAAAGTAAATTCAAACAGTAAACGTCAAATAAACTGCACACACATTCGAGAAGAATTCACGCATCATGATACATAGTCAGCTATGTATCATGTCTCCAGCACCTTATCGATATAGAAACATCAGATGAAACAGAACGAAAATTCCGTAATTATTTTCTAACATCTAATAGACTATGTCTATGTATGTCTGTACACATGCGCGTGTACATAATAAGAATGACTATTACTTTTGGACGTTAGCTTCAGGCACGTAATGAAGATAAACACTCTTCTATTTAAGGTAAAGCAAACGCCGCTATTTCAGCACACTCTTAGCCGAGAAGTTGTACTATTGTAAAATATTTAAGGGTAAATAAGTAGATAAGGTCTTCAGATTAGCTATTCATACAAAACAGAGAAGCAAACTGATGACAAAATTTTCCTTACGAAGTAGTACAACTAAATACAAGCTAAATAACGTGTTTTACTAAAAAAAGGAAAGCAAAAGGATGCGCGTACAGGGAACGTCCTGATTCGTGCGTGTATTTTGCGCAAAAGTTATTAATGCTACTGTTACATATTAAATACGTTATATGAAAGATATAATTTTAAGACTAATTCACAATTGGCTCTTTCTGTAACGAAAACGTATCCAATTTACGTTCATTCGAAACGGAGACCGGAGTATTACGATAAAAAAACAGGAACAATAACAACAGTTGCTTGATAGATTCGACCCTATATATGGCTATATTGATATTAGTATTATTGACAGCATGCGTGTACATGTCTAAATAAATTTGTGCGTATCGTATACGTTGCACACGTATGTTTCTATTCTGACAGGTCCCGTTCTTCAACGAAGCAACACTATCATTTCGTAGCTACAGTATACGGTCTTCATCCTACCAGCAAACATGGTTATAATCGTCCATCGCGAGCAGTAACATAGAATTTCGCCTATTTGCCTTCCGCCAAGCAATTTCATATGTAGATCACGCGAATATACAATCGGAACGCTATCGAAACATCGTCTATCTATGGCTATAAACAGCCATTATCTTCGCCATTTCCATCCATCCTTCTGCACCTATGTCAAATCGAAAGCGTTCATTCTTTCTGCTGGCTGTAAATTGTTGGATTATGCTGCGCTATGGAATTTATCCATGTTGTCCTTTTCCATTCTGGCAATACTCTTTGTCAAAATACAGTCGTCACGGATCGCATGAGTGGAACTTTACACTGGCACTCTGTCATTTCCTCGATCCAAAAACTTGATTCCATACTATTTCAAATCGTGTAACGTAAATAGGAAGACAGAATAATGCTAATGTAACAAATAACTTTTAAGTTTTTTTTAAGTTTAGCAGGCGAGCGTATAACGCAAGGCAACCCTTAGCGACTATACTACTGTGGCAGCTTTTCATATATGATCTGAATTAGCGAAACAGCGAGACTAAGAAGGACCAAGAAGGACTGGAGAAGTCTGTCGCGAAGCCGATGGTCCATTGAAATGCTGCAGCAAAGGCAACCTAGGACACATTGAGTAATAGAAAGAGAGATCAGCGGAACCGCTGATTTGGGTTTGGCGACGAGTGACCTTTGATATTTAGTATACTATAGAGAAGACTACGTTGTGCACGTACGTGCTTGCGTATGTGCACGCATAATTAAATCGGACATTAGGTAAAGTGATTGCTGCCAACAGAGCAAGTAACAATGCGTTTCCTATATATGGTTGATTACAAATTGGATTCCTTTTCGTTGCGGTATCGAAAACAAATGCTTGAATTATAAATATCTAAAGCATATGCAAAGGGGCTTACCTTGTGGAGCGAAAGGTGGTGAAAAGCAGAATTGTTGTTTCCGTCGTCTCCTGATGTTTATTAGTATCCTTAGTTTGTTTTATTGAAACTGCACAATTGTCATTATCCAATGATTTAAACCGCGTATCCATGTAACAATCCGCCTTTGGCAAGTTTATCCGACGATTCAGATTTGTTTTCTTGCTTTCGCCAACAGAGTGCAGCTCACACTTTGCACCAACCACCTTTTTTTAGTTCGCTATCAACGATAAACATCGGTTATCTAAATATAAAGGCCAATTCAAGCCTGTAACATTTCCGAGCGCGCATTCATACTTCTCTCAACAACAAACATCGTTGCACGTTATTCAGCGTACGATCGTCGGCGAGAGGTGCATGAATCGAGAAACTGATAGTTTCTAATCGTTAAGTTCGCCATAAAATACGGTGCGTGCACCGTTTATGTTTTCGACGGTATCTTCCAACGCAAATCCTTCAGCACATACACATACATACGCCCAGATACACGCATACACACACGCAGGACGTCGTCCTCACACACGCATACACCACAGCTCAGACACCGGCACCTGCGATTCTAGCGTTTTGTCCTAATATTTCGCGTGAGGCAATTCACACCTCATAAACTTCTCCCTATATACACCCTAACATAATCGAAGTAATAATGATAACAATAGCCTTACTCAACGATAACACGGCCCATAATCGTTTTGCCAATATTTGGTTCGTTGTTGCACTCATGCCATTAAGTAATTCCCTGCTTTCCCTTTAGTATTCTCTATCCATGGAAAAAGAGAATTAGGCTGAGCGTTGAGAGCGCGAATACTGATCCGCTCTGCTCCCGGATAGAGAGCGCTCTTCCATAGCCAATAGCGACAATACACTGACGATTACGGACCGCAATCTGCCGACCAAACTGTACCATCAGAGGCAGATTTAAACGGTGGACAACTGCAGCAACGGTCCTCCGTCCGTCGCCAGCGTCGAGACACGCACTGACTTTGTTCGTCTTCCGCCGTTCAACGGACAGCAACAGCAGAAGCGGTTGCGCCAACGATAGATACCAAAGAGAGGGAGAGAATCAGATAGTCAGGCTGACAAACAGGCTATCAGGGCGCAGCAGAGAGGAGCTGCCGCAAGAGCTGCCGCGTGGCTCCGCATCGTACAGAACGTCACGGCACCAGCACCAGAGACAACGACACCGCCAAGGAGCGAACGAGTGAATAGAACGCGATTCCGATAGATGAAAGGTGCGCGCTCGTTCGGCAAACGGTGCTGCCGCCGTAAGCTGTCCATGCCCGTAGCGGCCGTTTATGCCAGCCTCTTATTCCAGCTCCTTGGCCGCCGTTGAAGTTTGCGGAGCACTGAAGCGGCGAGGTAGGGAAAGTTCAGGAGTATAGCCAAAACCGGCGACGGTGGCAAAAGCTAAAGCAGAAGCGATCGCCATCCGGCTTATGGTGGCGTCGTTGTTGTTGGTATCAATCTTGCGTTGTTGTTGATGACTTGCGCTTCGATAGCAACAAGTTCAACTTCGGGCAGACGGGAATTCGGGCTTTCCTCCTTCTTCTTTTCGCCCCTCTCATTTATCCTGAGAATCGGTAACAGAAACAGGAAAATATTAATGACAGGAGACAGAAGCAAAAAATAAATGGAGTTGTAGAAATTTCGAAATTGTGGAAATTTGGAAGTAACGGGACAAAGATAGCCTTGGGGGGGATAGGCAGAACGCGACCAACAGTTCAACGAGCGGGAAACGCGCGGGGGATGTCTCCCGGAAAGGACTATCCTGGCAGAACAGCTCCGCCTCGTGATCGTCGCAGCTCGAATAGCACTACCCATATATTGAATAAAGCTGTTGTTGATATAGCTAATACGAGTGCTATGTCGACATACAGGAGAAAACCGATTCATTATTATGTGTATACTATAATGTCTATGTAAACAGATATATAGACCAGAGATGGATTGCCTGTTTTTTCCAAAATAAATGGAGCGCTCTGGGTGCGGCTCTGCAGGAGTTGAGTCCATGATACACAAATAATATAAGGGCTGCGCAGCTTAAGGTCATGGATATGGGTTAGATTACTGTTGAAGACCTGAACACTGGTGCAGATAGGTGGCGCGTAAGGATCAGAGGTTCATACTCCAGCGTAATTTGAATGAATTACGCGTAAATCTGAGCGTAGCTAAAACCAAGCACTAACTAGTAACCTCAACGGAAGGGTCCTTTATGGTTCTTAGAAAAAGATATGTCTCAGAATTTGTTTGCCCCGATGGACAATACCCGCTTAGATAACCATGTGGGTTCTGGCAGGACCATTGCCCCAAAAATCAACGTCTGGAGACTGAAAAATGCTTAATCATTGTGCACTAACCTAGAAAATAGTCTCGAGGGAAAACTCAGCGACTAACGAGAAAAGCGTAAAGGTGTAGATAATCTAACTCGCTAGGCGTCTAATCATGGGCACCTATTATTGACTATAGAGGAAGTAAAGTACGCTGAATCACCACCTGAGCCAGGCATTCGTCGGCAACGACAGCTTCCCGATAAATTTGCGTAGGATAGGCAACCTCTCTGAAGTGCTCCCAATGCAATCACACAAGCAACGGATTATCTTGGGCAAACTTTGGACCATACAGCAAAGATACAATTTGGAAATTGCTCTTCAGCCCCTGTTCCCAAAAAGCCTGAGAAACAAAGTATATTTTGTATTCAGGCGAAACATCCGAAAAGTATACTTATAGTGTAGCAGTTACAAAGTGATTTAAAGCTAGATAGACAAAACTAAAGACCGATCAAGACCACCGTTTTAAATTTATTCATCATATCTAAAAAATGCATACTTACGTCTCGACTTATATACATTACTTCAAAACTGCTTTTGCTCTTTCGACACTGCACTAGATCTACAAACCTGAAGGACAGTCCTAAAACAGGTTTAGTAATCATCAGAAAACGTCGCATAACTTGGTCGGTCTTAACGATCTTTATATCGGCGCGGACGGACGTACCTGTCGCGATCAGGAGAGCCGGAGCGAATGAGTCCATGTTCGAGCCTGACTTAGCATCCGAATGGCGGGAGTCGTAAGGAACGCCCGAACGTCGATTAATAGAACACTTTTGCACAAACAGTTGGCTAGAGAAAATGCCATTAAATCTGCTTCGTCCATCTATGGAGTACGAAAACTTCGTCATTACGCCCAGTGATATCGGTTTGCGGTAGATTCGTCACTGCAAAGGGTCACCACGTTTTTAGTAATAAATTATCCCTTCAGCCTCTCGTTCGTGGGATAGCTTAGGACCTTAAAGACTATCTCCGTTTCTAGAATCTAGTCCTCGTCGATCTACAAGAGCCATTCCAACTTGCAGGCCATCCTTGGCGGTTATGTGACCATTACGTCTAAAGGCTTCAGTTCGTCCGCCAAATTGGCGGACACCTAGGTCTTTCAGAACGGAATTTTCACTAAAGAAGGCGCTTTGGGCGTTCATTCTTCGAATAGCATACATTTTATAGCTTATGATAGTGTTTAATTCACTTCTTTTTGTCTGAATCTGCGAGGTCATCTAAATTGAAGTCGTTGCTTCATAAGTGCACATTATAATTTCTTTAAAACATTCTAATGGATCGGAATCCTTACTGTATAGAATATTAATTGCTAGAGAGCACCAGTGTACCCGGTCTATGTAATTTATGGATGTGTTGTATGGTTTTAAAGTCCCTCTCGATCCTATATTATTGATCTTTTAAAAACTATACAAGATAGAGTGATTTGGTGAAGTTCTATGAAATGGAGATGAGAGGATTGACATTACTCTGGGCCTATACGAAAATTATATTCAAAAAAATGTGGCTGATGCATAAGATCTATTTATATATTGTAAACTTTTGAGACGCATTAATTCGCTGTTCGTTCTTGGCCTCGAGTTGTAAGCCTTAACTGGCCTGTTTCGTTATAGGTTGGTACGTAACTCATAACTATGCCAACATACTGGCTAGGATCATTCATTCACAACATTTTTTTTTAAAGACTGCCTTTTTTCACATTATTTGTGCTCTGTTATTTATAATAACGAATTAAAAAGACTTCAGTCGATTTACACACTTTCCTATTTAATCTATTAAAGGACAAGAGTAAATTTCGCCGCTTTTATGTTTTTTTGACATTAAGATCTCTCAGTTTGTAGATTCAAATGGCTTAAAAAACCTTGAGAGTTCCCTCAGAAATGTTTGTCTGGTTATTTTTAATAAAAATCTGACACTACATCTGCCCCAGATGAGTGTGGATAAAATTGAAAGAATCGACTTTTCATGTATGACAATTAAATCACAAATGTACTGGCTAAAATTAACGTCATAAGACATAAAGGGTGTTACTTCAAACTTGAAGATATTTCTCCATAGAAGTCTTTGATTGTCTCTGTTTATCTGCCTGTTCAGTAAGGTCAATGATTACGCATCTTGCAATTGACCCTAAGGGCCAATGATTATCTTGTTCGAGATGCCGAACATTAACGAATCTTTCTTGAAGCAGAAAAAAAGTTGCTTGAATAAAGTATATATTAAGACAGCATTTTTATACTTCGAGTAGTTCTGAGTGCTTCTGAAATATTTATAAAATATTCCATTAAGAATAGTGTTTTTTTTTTTTAAATATGGACATTGATGTACAAGATTGTTCATATGGAACCAATTGGTTCAATTAAGACCCCAGTTGATGAAGTACAATTATCTTACTATCAAAAAATACTACAATCGTTAATCTCATACAGGTTGTTGGCTTCCTGTTCTCTGTTGCTGGTAATAGTTTCGTCGTAAGTGGTAGGCTTTCGACAATCTTGTCCTTATTGTTACTATCACAAGGGTTCAAAGATAACGAGGATGAACGTGACCAATAATTGAATGTTTCAGGATGACAGTCGACCTACAAATGAGCCATGGAGAGCTGGTTTGCTGGTTCATAGAGTTTGCATAGTTATTTTTGCTTACGAATCGATCAATACGGTAGACGCCGCTTCTAATTCCACTTTGCAAGAGCGCGGTTTTGTTTCCACGTTCCTTTTTTCCCGTCGAATAACGTTCGTTGATTTTCCTACGCATCATCGACGAGACCCTGGTACGTTAGTTACCTATAGTAGAGAGCTAGTCTGAGTTGTATCGTGGTGTTCCAGACATATCCAATTAAAATACAATGTTAGCTAATTTTTTTGGTTAGAGAGAAACAGATCCATTCGGGTAAATATACAATGGCTGATTTCGTACTGGCAACGTATTATACCAACCAGATTGAAGAATACATGAAATGGTCTAAGATCTGAGTGCATTTCGTTTATAGCTGGGACCCAGCAGTCTGCAACTTAAAGACTGTAGTGGACGTGAAAACTCGAAACTTTTATTTTAGCTATACAATGACTAAAATTATTATTCATAACATAGCGCACAAAACCGTATAACTTATCAAGAAAATAAAAACCGAAGTTATATTAACAGTGTGAATTGAAAAAGGAGAGGAGTTAACAGTAACCGATAAGGTGGCGTACATAGCACTTCTGGCACGCGCAGCCTAATAACGCAATCAGTAATAATTACATTGTACGCACCTGGAACTTCAGTTAATAAAAACCGTAACAAGCTTTCATTTTTACCTCGTTGTATTAAAAAAGGACACATTTTACATCGATTTTATTTTCGGACTCTGTACCCGATCTGGTGTTCTGCAGGATAAGGATAAGCGTTCAGTCTGATCATATTTATAATATTAGTCAGTTTTACTGAAGTAGAAATGTCCTTTCTAGAAACGAAAGGACCGCGGATCTATGACAGTTATAACAATACATATATATTATTACATATAGATATTGGACTAGTTTCTTCTAGAAGACGCGCGCCTTCTTATTCAAATCAGACGTTGTTTTTGGTATGAGGTGAAGTACCAACAGCAGATATGGCATGCTTCAACATACATAATTTTAATATTATTGTCCATTTTTTTTTCACTGTTTTGGTCAATTATTATTATTGCAATTAATCAACTCAGACGATTATCTTCGACAGCTGACGTAATCTGTTGTTGCACTATGTGACAGACATTGACAAAAGACTGACTATGTTTCTATAAAGGTATTCTTTGATATCACCAAAGCTACCAAAACAAAATATTATAATAGTTAGACACATCTGGTAGATGCTACTCCCTGGCTTCCACACCAAAGAAAAAAGAACTGTCATCTGATAGTGACGTACTATTTTAGATTTGTTGGTAATTTTCAGTAATTAAAAGTTTCTTTAGCATTCTCGATCTGCTTGAGTACCTTATAGCTTTTTAAACATTACTATAAAAGCCGTAAGGCAAGCACGTTAGGACTAGAAAGCACTAGTAAAAATATCTAAAGTGGTTTTCTCGTACTTTAAATTATTTCGAGTTTTAGGTACAGCATCGCCATTAAACGCTACTTCTGACGGCGGGTCGCTCCCAACACGAAACTAAGGTACCGATGTTAAACTCTCGCGTATCTCGAATACGTTGTCGCAGGGCAGTTTTTCCCAACGACAAGACAAATCCGTTTAACAGCAAAGCTTTATTCGCATTTTGAAAAAAAATACATAGAATTATTTCGAAAACGCTTCGATAGGATGCAAAAGAGAATTCGAATTAAAAATACTGATGATGATCATCATAATTTCGGTGCTTTACTGCGACGTTCGTTCCCATTGTTCTATTAAGTACCCTAGGGCATGTGGTCACTGCCGTACATCGTCGGCTATCGCACATCAGATGAGCGCAGAATATTAGAGATATATTTAACAAATCATGAAATAACTTAATTTTTTTTATTTACTTAATTTAACCAACTGACCGTGGAGTAGAATAAGCAAGCCTTACAAGCTAGTCATTCTGTAATTTCATGGATGTAATATCATGAAATCTGCTAATCCTTTATTTTGAAGCGTCCAACTAATATAACGTTCAATTCGACTTAGCTAATGTACTACAAAAATATGATACAATTTAAGAGATATAAATGAACAGCATTTGTGTGGTCTATCGCTCATGTTCATACCGTAGAAACATGAATACACAATTTACTCATCGTGAACACGATCAGCGTTTTCATAGAAGTTCCACCCATCAATTCACGAGCCAAACGTCCAAGCTTCTCCAGGACAAACTATAACGCTTCGCCTGTATTTACACCTTCCTAATGTTTACCTACTTCGTGCTGCTTCTACTGAATGTCACTCATTTTCTTGGATCGAGTAAGTCTCTAGCGCAGGTATCATCCGAGGTGAACTCCACTTGCGACTTGAAGGGCCCCAAAAGCTGTTTCGTATTGAAAAAGAATACTCTTCGAAGCTCACGGCTTCGACGAAGCATAATATTGGTGTAGTTGTAGCATGAAGAACTAACTCACTGTCCCTCGGCGACCCTTCACAAAATAGGTCATAGCTTAGCGTGTGACTTATATGAGGTTTTGTACCCCAGCTCCGTCTTAGTCACTAGCCGCTTTAACTTTCTCGAAGCCTACCGCCGGCTGGTGCAACCCTCACATAGTATCACCGACGGGTAGCAATAATTGAAGGAGCTCTCCCGTTTGGTCTTCGGTATGGTATAATAGTCGATGCCGGGGCCTGGCACCTCGATTGCTTGGTGCTTACCCTGAGTTTGTATGCAGAACGACCCTGATCGCATTCGGCAACGTCCTGCTGTCGCCACGCGGTAGCTGATCAGAGCTCCTCCTGCCATTCCTCTAGCATCCAGTGGAGCTGAAGACCTTGACACGCGTCGACTGTGAACTGTATTATTGCACTCCTTCGATGGCTTTACCATTAGGAGGCCTAATGTCGTTGCTTATTCCCCTTCCTCGTGTGACTTTTGTTTGCTCTCTGAGCGGTTTCCACTGACACCCTAGCGCCCTTAGTCCGATGCTGACACCGGTGACAGCCACGGCAAAACCCTGGGCTGCTACAGCCGCAGGCGTTTCTCCGCTCTAACAGGAACTCGCTGAATTTCCGCTTTCTCACCTCGCGTTCCGCACTCTTTCGCCTTGCTCACTCTTAACTTAGTCAACTTTAGCCAACCTGTTCGGTCGGTCATTCTTCGACTTGCAAAATATACGATTTACATTTTATTACAAATTCTACCTAGCATTGAAAACTATGTGCCAAGCAGTGGTGGCGACTGCAAGACGGGGT